ACAAATTCATCCAAGTCTCACGTTTAATTACTTTGTCTGTCCATCTAGATTTTGAGTCATGTGATGAAGAAACTAGCCGACCTGCAAACAAACAGAGCAGCTCTCCTGTCGCTGAAAACCAAACTTAAGGATAATGTGACTTCACGCAAACAGAGGCTTCTCGAACAAGTGACAACAGCGGCTGACCAGTTATTTAATGTCAACCAAACTTCTCTTAAAAACACACAAATTTTCTTGGAGTCAACTTTCGCCAAGGAGGAGACGGCAATTCAGAAGATGAAAAGCAACTTGGCAAAGTTGAAGAAAATGCGTACTGATCTGTGGCAAACGGCGTTCAATATACGTAAAGAGGTGAGTTGCAAGAAGCGCCGTCATGCTTCATTAGCAATTGCAAGTCTGTCTTGTTTCACCATCAACACTGCCTTACATCACTCAGAGATAGGCCCCGGCACAATGTGCGATAGGGCGTTTTGCGTAGATTTATGTTCTTTCATAGGACTTGGGACCGCATTCACTGCAACGGAGGCGTGGAATCGATATTCAAATATTGTTAAATTGAGCTGGAAATGTGTTTTCCTCCAAATCGTCTGTGCTGAATATCCTTTAACTTGTTTTGGTTGATTCTAGGTCTGCCGGACGAAATGTCGAGGTCGTCATTGATAGTGTCTTCGCACTAATTATTGAACGCTCGCTGATAGTTATTATAATTCACTTGCCTTGGGGCCCGCTAACGAACCCCGTCGGCAACTGTAGAGTGGCTTATATGATGGGCACGATAACATTACTCTTGAAGCTATCACTATGCTTCGTTTGTTGGTATCCGGTTTTGTTCCCCGCAGAATGAGAGCCAGATAGGAATGACTGCATCCTTTTTGTGGTCTTTATGGTAACCTTGACACTGTTGTATCCAGAAAACCCTTCTGAATGAAGACTAATATACGTTAAGATAAAGGCCAAATGGTCGATGAGAAGAATATGCAGGCTGTATAGCCATGTCTGCCTCCTGCTGTTTTCAAATCACTTTGTCATCAAATTAGCGTGAGTTTGTAAAGACCAAAAAAGAGATCGCCGTTGACGCGTATGACACCTACCCTGTCGTTTACTAATTTATACGCGAGTCACGGCTGTGGTGTTATTCGAATTTACAAATAGAAGACTGGCAGATCCTACATTTTGATGATGACTTGAAAAGAGCCAGTGGTATAATAATTCTTAATACTAGTTATAATAATTTCCTATCCGCTGTCGCTTTCCTCCATAAACGTTGTTACCTTCTTTTGTGACTGCAAAATGAAGGTATCTGGACGAGGAGTGCATACTTCTCGGCGCAATGTCAACATCTGGACCAGGCACTGTATTCGTTTAACCAGGCTGAAGCAGTCAATGAAAATGCTGCAGTGCGAACTCAATACATTTCAGAAATTAGTTGTATCCTGTGACGCCTCTGGCACGTGGAATTTCGTGATTGCTCAAAATTTCAGGATGGTATGTTGAGCATCATTCACCCTATCGTCATATCCTTCCCTTTTGTTTCCTTTTTTGTAATAATTACTAATAAGACATTAGTATTTCGTAGGGCTCGCTTCTGCGGTGAGATCCAGAACGGTTTTTTACACACTGTGGGTTATTTTATGGGAATTGAGCGGTTCTAAAAATTCACACGTTAAGCAACCCTGTTGCTTAAAAGTTAATAACT